AAACTCACCCTGACATTAGTCACGGCCCTCCTCAGATGTAAATTTCTGATTGTAAGTAAGGACACAAAGATATGCTAGGAGTCCCTGCATCAAAGCTGTCTCCCAAAGCAGATCTCACCCATAACCAGCCTGTCTTTGGAGTGACAACATATGTTAATGCGTGCGTATAAGTACATATTTCCCCAATGCAAAATTGATGACTGTCCTGGAGAAGCCAGACTGCTGCTTCCCTTACACTAACTATAAAGAGAGCATTGCCCAGCACATCTACCCTGTGCCCCCTTAAGATTAAAATAAGTTAAGATGGTTCCCATTTCCCAGAGACATGGTAAATATAAAAGCTTTACAGGCAATATAGAAGCTATTCATATGTTATTCCTTGCTCTTCAGCAAAGTAGGCCCCCCCCCTTTAGGATCTTGATTAACCTTAAAAGCTAAAACAATACATTGTTTTCCAAATGTGCTATAATTGAGACTTCTCTCTCATTTTACTCTACTTCTGCCACATCCCACCAAGAGTTGTGAAAACTCTTTTCCTCACCTATGGGATGGCCTGGGTCTGAGAGTCAGTTTTAGGTTCCAAAAGTCATAAGAGATCCAAGGCAGTATTTTCGTACCCACTTAACTCCTCCCTGATTAATTTACATAAAAGGCACATCACCTGGTAAAACAAGACACCGTTTTAAATTTGGCCAGCTCTCTCTGGCCAGTCTCAGCAACACTATCGGCCATTGGCATATGAAGACGCTCTGTCCTCAGCAGTCTATGACACTTTAATTATTGTATTAGCTGTTTTCATAATTTTCCCCTTGATAGCATGTGCCACTGTTTAAAAACAGCTTCTTTTAAGATATAATCCATGTGCCATAAAATTCACCCATGTAAAGTGTACAATTCAGTGTTTTTCAGTGCATTAACAGAGTTGTACAACCATCACTGTGATCAATTTTAGAACATTTTCATCCCTTCAAAAAAGATGCCCTAACCGATTAGCTGTCACTCCCCTTGCCCCCCAAACTCTCCAGCCCCAGGCAACCACTATACTACTTCCTGCCTCTATAGATCTGACTATTCTGGAATTGAATATAAATGAAACCAGACACTGTGGTCCTTTGTGGCTGCCTTCTTTTACTTAGCATGATGTTTTCAAGGTTTCATGTGTGTAATAGCATGTATCAGTACTTCATTTCTTTTTATTGCCACATCGTATTCTGTGGTATGGATATATATATACCATATTTTGTTTATCCATTCATCATTTGATGGATATTTTAGTTGTTTCCATTTTGGGGCTATAATGAATAATGCTACTATGACAAATTCATGTATAAGCTTTTGTGTAGACATGTGCTTTCATTTCTCTTGGTTATACACAAGTGTGGAATTGCTGCATCATATGATAGCTTTATGTTTAAGCAGCTAAGAAACTGCCAGACTATTTTCCAATGGGGCTGCACCATTTTACATTCCCATCAGCAGTATATAAAAAGGTTCCAATTTCTCCAGTCTTGTCAACACTTGTTACTATGATTTTTATTGTAGCCCTCCTAGTGACTGTGAAGTGGTATCTCATTCTGGGTTTGATTTGCATTTCCCTGATGGCTAATGATAGTGAGCATCTTTTCATGTGCCTATCTGCCACTTTTACGTCTTCCTTGGATAAATGTTTATTCAGATCCTCTGTCCATTTTTAAATTGTGTTGTCTTATATTTAGAGTGTTAAGAGGTCTTTAGGTATTCTGGATGCTGGCCCCTAACCAGATATATGATTTGCAAAAGCTTTCTCTCACTCTGTGGATTGTCTTTTCATTTTCTTGGTAGTGTCCTTTGAAGTACAAATATTTTTGATTTTGATGAAGTCCAATTTGCCTTTTTCTTTTGCTACTTAATGTTCTAGTAATATATCTAAAAAACCATTGCCCAATTCAAGGGCACAGAGATTTATGCCTTTTTCTTGTAGAAGTTTTATAGTCTTAGCTTTTACATTTAGATCTTTGACCCATATTGAGTTGATTTTTGTATAACTGGTGACACTCATGTCAATTTTGAAAACAAGTTAAAATGATAAATAATCAGGAGTTTAAAAAAGATGCAACTGTTTTTGGTTTTAATTAAAAACCATGTACTCTTTCATTAAATGTACCGTTTAATGGAAGAAAATTAACTCCTAACAAGCTGATACTCTCAGTATTTGCTTTAAAAATCTGATAAACTAAGAATTGTTAGAAAGGGCCTTAGTCATTCCTGTGTTTAAAAATCAACTCCTTTCAGCAAAGACTTGAATAAATGAAGCCATATTATAACATGCTATATAAGTAATATGTTTTAAATACATTAAAAGCACCTTTATTGCCCAATTACAATGACATGGGCTTCAGTTTAACACTGTGATTCTACAACAGGGTGACTTTGTCCCCCAGGGGACATCTGACAATGTTTGGAGACATTTTTGGTTGTCAGAGTGTGGAGGGAGGTACTACCGGCACCTGTTAGATAGAGGACAGAGATGTTGCCAAATAGTTACAATCCATAGAATGCCCCTCCCCCCGACTAGGAATCATCCAGCCCTAAATGTCAACTATGCAAGTTGAAAACCCATATTTTAAATCAGTGGCCTCTATCAGATACATTGGAAGAGATGTACGTTTGCAAACCCTTTCGTCTCAGTTATAGCCTCATGCATTTCCCCCATCTAACACCCAGCCTTTCAGAGGCCAGAATGTGCCCCAGCACCTCAAAACCCTTTGTGGTGACAAACACCTATCAGGTCTTCCCTTGTGGGGGTCATTGGGAAAACACTTGCTTTCAGAGTTTAATTCATTCTGTATTTGTTTTCATTTTTTGAATTTTGAGATATATTTGGATAATACATCCATTCCCTGTTCAACGTATATGAGTGATCAGTCTCCTATTAAAATATATTTTGTCTGATTAAAGAACCACAAAGATAATAAGTAACAATTTGGGAATACTTGGTACTGTACTAGGCACGTTTGCTGTATTATTTAATTTTCTCCACCATTCTGAGAGAATGACTATCATCATTCACATTTTACAGCTGTAGATGAGACATGATGAGATTAGGCAGCTTACCCATGATCACATAGCTGGAGTCACCACTACTCCAAGTCAGGGCTTAAGAGGGGTCAACTGTGAGGTACAGGCATGTCACAAAGAATTTGGGTCACTCATTATGGGTAATCACAGATGTTTGCAGTACAGTTGTGTTCTGTCACTCAGTTGAATCACAGTAAGTGCCCTGTCGTGGGCGAGAAGTAGACACACACAGCTAGCCACAGGAAATCCCACCTCACCTGGCCATGCCCACAGAAGCGTGGCTTATCTGTGAGCCTTATCCAGCCTGCAGGTAATGTGGGCAGCATCTGAGGACTGCTGCTTAAGGAACACTAGGATGTCCGTGTCATGACTTAGTTTCCTGATGCTCGCCCCCAAATCAGTCAAGTCTTGTGTGCTTACGTACTGGCCAGCCTCTCATGACATGCTCCAACTCCCAGATGTCTCTCCTGACTTGTGGCCTACAGCCCTTTGCACGAACACCAGCCACCTTCCCCCAGCCCTCATACATACCATGCACTATGCAAAGTTCTCCTCACCATCACCTTTCCCAGGCTCAGGTCACACTCCAGGCTCCTGACCTCACATCCACTGGTCTTACTGGCACAGCACTGTGGTGGTAAACAGTGGTAAACATCTCAGAAGAACTCAACTGCAGTTAAGCAGTAGTGTCCCCCCTGTCCCAGCTTATCCCTCTCTCCACCAAGACCATAGCTGTCTTTATAAACCTGATATCATCTACCTCAGATGGTGCTTTTAGGAAAGTATCTGGAGTGTGAGAGTGACTAAAGATACGTGTTATCATGGTACAAAAATTGGAAATAGTATGGTTCTCCACTTTAGCCAGTTTGGGGCAAGAGTAAGGTGAGACTGCTCACACCTGCCTTCCGGGTGTCTTCCACCACGTCTCCGAATGAAAGCAGTGGAAGAGATGATGACTGGAATTGAAGATTGTCCTCCACCCCCAAATCTGAAGAGGGACCTTGATCTTTGTTCTAGATCTGCCCCTAAAATTCCTTGGGCAAATCTTTCCTTGCTCTGGGCCTCCATTTCCCCTTGAGGAAGGGTGTGTGCACTAGACAATTTCTAAGCATCCTTGCAGCTGCAAACTTCTTGTAGCCCCTAAGGTGCTGGGGGCTGAGTTGAAGTGAAGCCTGTGGGACTCCAGTCCAGCGTAAGTAGCAATCTGCTTTAGTAGTAAGCCCACACCCAGAAGCCTGTCTGTGTTTGAAGTATGGAACAATGATTGGTGGATGCTATCTTTCTTGAAAGACTCATCTCCAGGGATGGTGTTAGCATATTTAACACCCAGAATGGCCCAAGCAGGGGCCGTCTGGAGGGTAGAAGCAGCTGGAAAGGGCCTTCCCGGGCTGCAGCCTGGAGAGCATGCCTTGCCCCCTTGAGGTTCTGTGGAGCATTTTGCTGCTTGTTTTTGGAGTCAACCTCTTCCTGCCTGATTCTGCACTCAGGGCCCTAACTCCTACCCCTTTGGCTGCTTCTCTCTCCAGCCACTTTATACACAACAGCTGTAAATATCCTCCAGCATCCAAACACCAACTTAATCATATTTACCTTTTAACAGAGGCTTTTGGAGCACCCCCCTGTGCTCAGCCCTGTCTGGACAGACTCCTCACCCTCCCACCTTCAAAAACGTTAGAGGCTGGGAAAAGCAGGACGATTAAGAGACCCGAGTCCTTACCTAGCTACCCCCCTTGTCTGCCCTGTGATCTCAGGCTAGACCCTGCCCCTCCTGGGGGTCAGATTCCTCCTCACACATAAATGAGCAACTTGGATTAATTGATGAGCTCTGAGGTCCCTGTTGTTCAATGATGACTTTCTGGAACAATGCAAGTCTTCAGCCTCTGATCCTCTTTCTCTCTCTCTCTCCCCCTCTGGGTCACCCGGCCCCACAACCCTCCCTGTAGAATGCACTGCTGCCTGCAGGCCTGAGGCAGAAGGATCAGACCACCAAGGCGCCCACGGGCCCCTTTAAAAGGGAGGAGCTCTTGGATCACTTGGAAAAGCAAGCAAAGGAGTTTAAGGACCGAGAAGATCTTGTCCCCTACACAGGGGAAAAGCGAGGTACTGAATAATGTTGCTCTTGTGAACACGTCACTCCCCATTCACCGCTGAGTTCCCCCTGTATGTCCGGCCGTGTTGGGCCAATGTGTCTCAGCCTCCTTGCCCCCATCCCTGCCTAGCCAAAACCACAAACCCACCTCCAAAAATATCAGTACATGACACAGACTTAGTGGAGTCTTGGGGTAAACTGAGGAAAGAGTTTCATCCATCCCTCAGACCAAAAATTTCCCCTAAATCCCCTTTAAGTAAGTGTCCTGATTATTTTCATACATAAATCCTGACGCTTCTGAAAGTGAACAAGGAAACTATTGATCATGATATCAGGACATAAGGCCTACACAAGGTCTGTTCCGTGCAAACCAGGAAAAATAGATATCCTCCCTCTACACTAACCAGCCATGCTCTTTCCCAGACATTCCTGTCTCTGGCAGCTGCATCATCCCTTCCTTCATCCAGTCCTCTAAGACTCTCTGCCCCAGCCTAAGGCAGGCCATCTCTAAGGCTTGGGGTCAGACAGGCACTCCCTGACTATCCAACCTCCTACACTCCAAACCATTCTAGTGTCCTCTTGTATTGTGTTTGCCCTTGCTCACTGCGCTGCCACCCCACACCCTTCTGTCCTGCAAACATTCTGAGCTCTTTTCCACCTCAAGACCTTTGCACGTATTCCCTCTGCTGGAATGCTGATCCTGCTATCCAACTCCACGCTGTCTTCATGGCTGTCTCCTCCTCCCCTGTGAGATGCAGGATGATTAGACACACAGCCTGTCACTAGGAGTATTCTGGTCGCCATCCTGGCACTCCCACTCACTAGATGTGTGAGCTTGAGTACATTTTTAGACCTGCTGTGCCTGCATCTCCTACTCTGTGGAGTGGGGCTGAGGAAAATAATATTACCAACCTCATGAGGTTGTTAAGAAGACTGACTTAAGACATATAAAGCTCTCAGAACAGCACCTCGCTATGTACGTGTTAGCTGTCACCAACTACCCTTTGGGTCTCAACTGTACTGTCTCCTCTTTCAGGGAAGGCTTTCCTGTCTACTCTGTTTAGGACACACAGCCCCTTCAGCTCCCTACTTGGTCATTCTCCATCTCAGGAGCCAGTGTGTGTCCTTCACAGCAGTTGCCATCTTACTATTACATGCGTCCTTCTCATTGGCTGTAAGCTCAGGGAAGGCAGGGGCTTGGCCTGCTTTTGCTCACACAGTATCCCCAGCACCCTGCACAGGGCCTGGTGCACAGTGGGGCACAACAGAGAGGTGTTGAATGAATGAATGAGTTCAAATTAGTAAATGTACTTGAATCTTGTGGGCTACTTTCTTAGAATATAACCCCATGAGTACCAGGACTGCGTCTGTATTGTTCATCATTGCCTCCCTCCCCCTAATAACCCTAGCATATAGTAGACATCAATAAATATTTGTTGAATGAAAGCATTAGTTCTAATTAATTAGTTGTGTAATTAATAGTTTGTTTTCAGTCTCCTCCACTCTCTACCCTCAAGATTGTAAGTATGATCAGCTAAGAGTCCATATCTGGCTTTTATCTCTGTATCCCTATTGTATCAGCATAATACCCTGCATAGTGAGTAGCTGCTTGATGAATAATCAAGTGGATGCTATCTTTCTTGAAAGACTCATCTCCAGGGAATGTGTTAGCATGTTTAACACCCAGAATGGCATGTGCAGGGGCTGTCTTGTTTTTGGAGTCAGCCACAAGCTGACCCAAGAAAACGAGCAGGAGTAGACATCACGGGGAGAACTTTGAGCCACCGCAAACCCGGGAATTGGGGCTCAGTTCAGATTTCATCAAAAGTTTGGAAGGTCAGGGACTCCCAAGAGGCATCTGGTTTACTGAACTTGGGGAGGATTAGGTGGTCCTGAGGCATCCTGGAGGGGGGCAGGGGAAGGAGGCCTTGACCACACGGGCTAGGTGTGCCTGCTGAGCGTGTGGGCACGAGATGTTTTTAAGCAAGACCTTTGTGCCGTGAGCAGTGATTTCTGTGTAGCTGATAAAGATAATAGAATCTCTGGATTTCATGGAGCCTCAAAACTTACATTGTCCCACCTGCATGTTTGAAAAATGGGGAAACCAAGGCTGTGGGAGAGTCAGCAGGAGACCTGGGTGGACAGCTGGCTTCCACTTCCTCGTGCACCCACCCCGTTTCCATTTTGGTTTTGGTTTTTATTACAACCATCATGGGTGTGATGGCATCTCATTTTCCTAATAACCAGTGATGCTGAGCATCTTCCCATGTGCTTGTTGACCATTTGTATATCCTCTTTGGAGAGATGTCTAGCAGTCCTTTGCTTGTTTTTAAATTGGGTTGTTTTTCTTTTTATTGTTGAGTTGCAAAAGTTCTTTGTATGATCAATACAAGATGCATTCAGATATGCGATTTGGGAGTGTTTTTCTCCCATTCTGTATGTTGTCTTTTCCCTTTCTTGATAATGCCCTTGGATGCACAAAACTTTTACACTGATGAAGTCCAGTGGATCTGCTTTTTTCTTTTGTTGCTGGTTCTTTTGGTGTCATACTAAGAATACACTGTCAATTTTAAAGTTATGAAGATTTATGCCCATATTTTCTTCTAAGAGTTTTTTAGTTTTGGCTAGTCTATTTAAGTCATCGATCCATTTTCAGTTCATTTTGTTTTATGATGTGAGATAGGGGTCCAACTTCATCCTTTTGCATGTAGATACCCAGCAACACTTCTTGAAGAAATTATTCTTCCCCACTGAATAGACTTGGCACCTTAGTCAAAAATCAATCTGCTGTAGATGGATGGGTTTATTTATGGACTTCCAGTTCTATGCCATTGTTCATATGTCTATCCTTATGTCAGCATCACACTCTTTAACTTTGTAGTTGGTTTTGAACTCAGGAAGTCTTGGTCCTCCTACTTTGATCTTCATCAAGATTGTTTTGGCTATCTGGGACCCCTTGTAATTCTATATGAATTTAAGGATTAGCTTTTCCACTTATGTAGAAAAAGGTTATTGGAATTTTGATAAGAATTGCATTGAATATATAGATTGCTTTGAGCTGTACTGCCACAATAATATTGTCTTCTAGTACATGAAGTCAGGGTATTCTTTTATTTACTTAGGACATCTTTATTTTCTGTCAGCAATTTTGTAATATTCCATGCACAAGTCTTCATCTCCTTGGTTCAATTTATTCCTAAATATTTTATTCTTTTGGGTGCTACTATAGGTGAAATGATTGCCCTAGTTTCCTTTTCTAATTGTTCACTGCTGGTGTATGGAAGCACCATTCATTTTATCTGTTGATCTTGTATAACTGCTGAATTTGCTTATTAGTTCTAACAGGTATTTTGTGGAATCGCTAGGGTTTTCTATATATAAGATCATGTCATCTGTGATCAGAGATAATTTTATTTCTCCCTCTCCAGTCTGGATGCCATTTATTTCTTTTTCTTGTCCATTTGCTCTGGCTAGAACTTCCAGTGCAATGCCGAATGAGGATAGTGACAGCAGGCATTTTTGTCTCGTGGCCAATCTTAGGGGCTTATTCCCTCATTTGCTCTGTCAGATCCCAGCTCCTTGGCCATCGTCTCAGCAAGGCCTTCCATGGCCTTCCTTCCCACCTCATTCACACCCCAGCCTGGAACTTCCCAGCCTTTGCTCTGCTTTACTTTCCTCCACAATACTTAATACCATCTGGTATCTTTACATGCTTATTTAGTATCTTCTCTCCCTCCATTTGTAAATTGTTCACTCTTGTTCTGCTACCTCCTAGAAAGGTGCCTGGCACATAGTAAGCACTCAATAAATATTCACATGAGAATGTGTATGTGTGTATATGTGTGTGTGTGTGTGTGTGTGTGTGTGTGTGTGTGTGTGTGTGTGTGTATATATATATATATATATGTGTGTGTGTGTGTGTGTGTGTAATTTTCCACACACAGAATTAAATTGTTCATGTATTTTGTAGACTTGATTTTTCACACAGCATCTTGTCTTGGGTGTTTTCCTTCCTTGTGGAGATCTCTGTCATCCTTTATAAAAGCAGCTGGAACTCTAATGTGTGGCTGCCCCATAACTGCCTCCACACTGCCTGCTGGCGGTTGCTGCTGCGGCCATCCTGTGCCTGCCTCTTTGTTCCCTTGCTTGGTTACGACTCTGATACTTTAAACATACAGTGTTCTATGAGGCAAGGATACGTTTTTGCTCCCGATTCCTCTTTTAATACTCTGAGTGTATTTTATTTATTTTGTTTAGAAATGTGTCTATATTTTTTTCTCATATCAGAACATTTGGTTAGGGAATCCCAGACCCTAACATTCTATTATATTTTTCTTTTGTACCTTTTCCCTACTTACAGGTTGTTTAAATTAATGACCAATGTTTTCAAGAGTGAGCAGGCTAGTTTGACCTCATGATAAAGTTATTCTTTTTGAATGTGGAAGGCACTTTGCTGAAAATCTTCAATTCCTGTTCTTTGAGGAAGTTTGGCCCTGGGTCCCCAGAGGGAGAAAACGTCAAGGGAGTCTCAGCCTCGAGGGGTCCACAGGATTCTGGGATGGTCTACCCGGGGCCGTTGCCAGAAGCTCTCGTGTGTTTGCAGGAAAGGCCTGGGTGCCCAAACAGAAGCCAATGGATCCGGTGCTGGAAAGTGTGACCCTGGAGCCAGAGCTGGAGGAGGCCTTGGCAAATGCCTCAGATGCAGAACTCTGTGACATTGCAGGTAAGAGGCCTTCTAGAAGCTTCCCCATGCCCTTGAGAAGGGTTTAACCCGCATTTGGAGGGAGTCTTGGATGCTTTATTTCAACATGAAAGCATCCTTGCTGCTTCTTGTAAGGGCTAGAGGAGACCAAGAATATTAAAATAGAAATCTGTGAAAAATCAAAACAAGGAAAATAAAACCACCCAAACCCCTCATGCCACAGAGCCATCTGTTGCTGCCATGAAAGATGTGGAAGCACCCCAGGGAAGGCCGACATGAGCCCTTTACCAGCTTCTGCTCAGGCCCCTTGGAAAGAGGGAATAAAGGGGGTTAGACCGGAGCCTGGGGCAGCTCAGGTTTGGGAGGTTCTCAAATGGAGCAAAGTCATATGATTTCACAGCTCAGAGAGCAGGCAACTGCCCCCAAGTCTTACTTTTGTACAACACCCTCCGTCTTCATGTGTGTTTCTGTGTTTTCTTCACAAACAACCCCGAGAACTCCAGAAGGTGGCTTGATATCGAGCCCTTTGCCACTTGCCCTTGCCTGCTTCTTGCGGTCCAGCTGCTGCCCCACAGCCCCATGTCCCATCCCCAACAGGCTTAGCCCACTGCACACGCCCTGCAGGCCCCTGTCCCTCTGTGCTCCCAGGCCCTGCAGGGTGGGTGGCCTTTTTATGCTGCAGACTTGGGGGCTACTGACCATCACCCAGGTGGTGACAGGAGGATGGCTGGGGTGGGGAGAGAGACTCAAGGCAAGAGAGAGTGGGAGGGGAAAGATGGAGTCAGCTGCAACTGTCTGGCTGTGACAGTGAGGTCTGGGGAGGAGTCAAGGAAGGTTCCAGATTTTTAGCTCCAGAGACTAAAAGGATGTTGGTGCCATTAACGAAGGTGGGTGTATTATTCTACACGGGCTGCCATGATAAAATACCACAGACTGGGTGGTTTAAACAACAGAAATTAACAGTTCTGGAAGTTTGAAGTCCAAGTTCAAGGTGTTGGTGGGTTTAGTTTCCTCTGAGATGACCACCTCTCACAGTGTCCCTCTGTGCACATGTCCCCTGGTGTCCCTTTGTATGTTCTCATCTCTTATTATAGACACATCAGTCAGATTGGATGGGAATGCACCCTCACAGCCTCACTGTCACTTAATCACCTCTTTAGAGCCCTTATCTCCAAACACAGATATAAACCCTAAGTTACTAGGGATTAGGGCTTCAACATATAATTGTAGAAGTATAAAATCCAACCTTTAACAGTGGGGTAGGGGCAGATTTGGGGAAATACTGAGTTCAGTTTGGAACCTTTGAAGTTTAATGGCTCCCCAGATAGGAAGCTCTCCAGATGGGGACACTTGTACACAAAAGTCTCAAGTTGTGCAAGGGGTCCCAGTGGCATCATCAGCATAGAGATGTGGGTGTCATTAGCATTGTCAAGCTCCAGGCAGAGGGCATGACAAGAGTGGGGGCCTAGGGCTCTAGGAAACTGCACTGGCCAGGGTAGAAGCCTTTAAGAGATGAGGAGTGGAAATGGGACAAAGATGCCCCAATGGGGGCCAGTTGGCCACAGATGCACTGGGAACCAAAGGCCAAATCAAGATGTGCAGAACCTGATACAAGAGTAGGGAGAGAGAAAGAGGGTTCATGGCTGGCTGGGAGACTCAGAGGTAGGCGAGGCCAGAGGCCAGCTGAGGCCACCAGTCTAGGGCACTCAGCTGGCTGCAGCTATCATGTCCTCCAGCCTCTCATGGGTATGGTGCCTGAGTCCTGATGGCATTTATGCGGGGGACAGGAAAGGACGTGGCTTTCATCTGCAGTGGGATCATGGGGGAGGGGTGGTGAGAAGACTCATGTATGCACAAGGGTGACCGTGGGTGGCACTGGCCAAAGCCAGGTTGCAGGAACCCACGGAGTGAGTGAGGAGAGCCAACACATAGACTCTGAATGCAAACAACTCTTTCTTCAGGAGGCAGAACATTTGGGAAAGGTCAAAGGGCAGGGGCTTTAAGGGTGTCAGGGCTGAGAGAGGAAGGCTTTCATTTTCATTATAAAGTACGGAAGGAGTGAGTATTTCAACCAGATAGACACGGATCACAACTGAAGGAACCTAACTGGTTTACTTTGCCTACAAGTCAAGATTTTTTGTGAAAAGTCACACAAGTCATTACTACATCCTACACTATGTGCATGTATTTCAGTGGAACTATTCTGCTGATGAGGGTTGTGGGGGTCCCTTAATGGTGCAGCTGGGAGGTAGGTGGGGGGCACCTTAGCCCAGCATCTACCACGGACTCACCCTGGAGCTGTTTTTGTACTGGTGCCTCCCCTCCCATCACCCTCCACTCCATGACGTCACTCCCCTCATTCAGCAGCTCGGAGGGATTATCAAATGACTCCACTGTCAGAACCGCCCATTCCTGCACCAAAATAGAACTGCAATATTGTGCTAAGTTTCTGTGTTGATTTCTTAAAACTGTTTCCATTTTTGTTGGCGTGACTAATTATTATTATGTGCTCATGATACCATACCCATCCGTTGTCCAGAGGGGAGGAGGGAGCTGCAAGTGGACACCAATGTCAGCTGGCTGGCCTTGGGTACCGGTCGTTGCCTATCAGCCATTTGAAAGGTGTCAGTGTTTCTGGGGAAGGAGGGACTCAATAGCTGTTGACCACCAACTGTGTCCCAGGTGCAGTGGGACTTGCTTCCACTACCTCGGGGCACTTGTTGACCACAGCCAACAGAAGTGAGCGTAATTGTGCATGTGTATGGACGGAGGAAGTAGGCAGGGTGAGGGTAAATGCCTTGCCCACAGGGTTTGAACCTAGGCAGCTTCACCATCCAATGCAGCCCCAATAAAGCCCCCCAGGTGGGGAGATGGACACAAAGCTTAGGCAAGAGCAGGTGGCAGCCGGGCCTAGGGGAGTGTTGGGAGAGGCTGGGCAAAAGCAGGGGTTCAGGAGAGAGGTCGTGGCATTCAGAGCATGGGGGGATGTAAAAGGCAGACCCAGGTGAGGCCAAAGACTGAGGTGGATGGCGGAGCTGCTCCTGAGAATGTGGTTCCCCTGGGAGACCAGCTGTTCCTGGTGCTGGATCAGAGGCCGAAATGACTTTAGGCGTTCTGGCCGGAGGCAGCAGAAATCAGAGCTGGGCGGCTGCAAGGAGAGAGGCCAGGAGTCGTGGAAAGGCGCCACACGAGATGAGGGGGGACATCCTGTTGGAGTGCTGGGTGTGGTGAGCCCATGGTGGGGCGAGGTGTGGAGCCAGGAGTGTGGGTGACGCATGAGTGAAAGGAAAGTAGGGCAAGGAGGGCACAGGGTCTGTGGGTCATCGGTACTCCCAGGCCGAGTGTTCCCATGAATTCAGCCCCTGTTCAGTCGCCCACACATTCCACAGCCAGTACCCAGGGCCTCCCTCTGTGCCAGGCTACTGAGGAGCCCTGGTGAAAGAATTGTAGGTAAAAAGCCCGGTTCCTGCCCTGCAGAGCTGACATCAAACTATTAAATGAGCTGAGTGTCAAAGCAGCAAAAGGAGAGCGTGCGAGAGGGCGGCTAGCTTAAGTGGTGAGGCCGGTGGGGATGAGGGTAGAGACTGAAGCTGAGCCAGAAGGAAGACGTGTAGGGGTGAAGGGGGCTGGGGTGGAGGGGAGGCATCTCTGGCAGGGATGTGGCTGGGAAGAGGTGGCGTGACCACCCTCCCCCCAGCCACTGGCTTTGCAGGCGCGCTCACAGCAGGCTTGGCAACCGGCAGTGGTAGGAACACGCAGGAGGGCCCCCAGCAGGTGTGTCACCAACTCAGCTGTGGCTCTGCAGGCAAGGCCTGTGAACTCTCATCTGTTTGATTACCTTCTTGGTGTACATCGCCCACGCACTCATCCATTCACTCATGGAGTCAGTGTGCACTTTTTAACTCCTACCACATGCTAGCAGGAATCAAATCCAGTCCCTGCCTTTGAGGGGTCCAGGATGTAATGAAGATGACAGACCGAAAAACATAAATTTCAATTACACAATTACAAATGCACAGGGTGGTGAGCAGAACATCTGAGCAGGCCCCTCACAGTGCTGGGTTCTTGGCATGTTACCTTGGGATGTAGCCCAGAGGCCACTGGGAGTCAGCTGTGAGCACCTGGCATCATCAGTGCCTCCTCTAGTCAAGGCTGTGATCCTGGCCCACTGTTAGGGACCCTTCAGGTGGGGCAGGACCCAGGAAGGATTGGGGTAGGAGACTCACTGGCCAGAAGGGCCAACCCCCATGCCACCCCAAAGGGCAACCTGACCCCTAGCCACTGTGACTGTAAGAGGCAGTCCTAGCCAGCCCACGCCTGGCTCCTGGCATTATTTCTTGTCCTCAGGCACCTGTTCTCCTGTTCGCCAAGGGTCAGTGTGCGGCTTATCCAAGAGCTGTTCCACTGCACCTGAGTTCTGGGCTGAAGGGAGCCAGTTGCTCCCACCTATTCCTAGGATGCAGGAAACACCCTCCTGCTGTCTGCCCAGAGCCAGCCCGAGCAGCTGGCGCTGGAGAAGCCCAGGATGCATGCAGCTATCTCTTTGCATCCTGAGTAGAATTACAGAGTGAACCCTGCCAAGGCAGAGGAGGATAGAGAACTTAATGTTCTTTATCAGAGTTCAAAAATAGTCCTTTTTGAGTTTTGAGGAAGATCTAGACTAAAAAAAAAGAAAATCACTTTCCCTAGTGCTAAATTAGCCTTGTCAGTATCTGCAAAGAATGAAGCTGCAGGCAATGCTGAGATGCTGTTTTCCTCCTTCATTCACTCCTGGTGAAGTGGCGTGCAGAACCAAGCCAGGGGAAAGTCATAGTTTAGTGCCTAAGGTGGGTGGCTTGAGAGCCCCCAGGCATTCTGCCCAGTGGAGGATATTTAGCTTGGTGCCTCCCCACTTCCTTCCTTACCTCCCTCCCTTCTTGGAACCTTGATTTCCTCTGAACTGCAAAATGGTTTTATTTTTCCTTATGCCTGTATTGTTTGTATTACCTCCTACGATATATATTGTCTGTCCTACTTCCAACATCAAGGGGCAGTTTCAGAGCTTTAGAACTGCTGGTTAGAACTTAGCATGTAGAAGAATGGGTGGAGATATTAACTAACTTAGAAGCCAGTGGAGTCCTTGCTGAACAGTCTTTGGCAAACCATTTCCCTGTCAATCCTGCTGGAAAAGTTGGGGGCCAATGGCATTGCCCTGGATGCTTGTTGTAAAAAATCAGACAGAAGAAAAGATGAGATGTTTTGTGGTTAAGCCCTATATGAGGTAAGAGACCAGTGTTCAGATGCACTCCATTTTACAGGTGAGAAGACTGAGGCCCCCAAACTGGAAGTGACCTGGATGAGGTTACCCAACAAATTAGTACCAAGGTCCAGACTGGAGCTCAGGTCTTCTTCGTCTGTCCCCTGGTACTTCCTTGTAACCCTCCTGCCTCTGCCCCCATTTCCGGACCATTCTGTGAACCTGGCATGGGCACAAAATGCATCTTCCATATTCCACCTCTCTATACACTCTAAGCCAGACCAGCTGCCCCTATGAGGTTATGGCTTTCATGATTCCCAGCACCTTTCCAAACTGTTTTTTTTAAACCTGGAATTCCAGCAGCAGCCCAGAAGCACCTCTCCCTGTGTGGGAGCTGGAAGAGCATCTCCAGAAGGTGACCTGCAGGGATCTGATGCACCTGCCACAGACTCAGGCCTCAGCTCCCACTGCCCACGTAGACATAGCTTAAATTAAAGCCCAGAGAGCTCAAAAAAACGCAGATGCCTCTCTCCCTAGCAGGTCTCCTTAGTGATGAGCAGGCGATTCTAATTTTAGCAGAGAAGATTCGTAGAATGTGCGAAACAGGAGGGCCTTTGCAGTCAGCTCCTCTGTGGTTCTCAGCTGCCACTGAGCATCAGAATCATCCAACGAGATGAAAAATATATCTCCAGAGATTCAGATCAGTTGCTCTAGGAGGAGCATTGATATTGTCTTAAAGCTTCTGGGTGATTTATATGTGCAGCCATGATCAAGAAGCAGTGGTCAATCACTTCTTGCCCTTCTGGCTAAGATCAAGTGTAGTATCTGTTCTCATCAGTTTAATATCTGATACATTCTCTATCCAAAGAGAATATATTTAATGGATTTTTGGATCAAGAAGGTGGAATAAAAGCTTGCTCTGTCCACTCCATGCACTGACCTGTCATTGAAGTGCCTCTGGGAATGGTGCACACACACACACACACACACACACAGTGGTCTTGTGTCACCCCTCATTGCACAGAGGAGGTTGAAGCCCAGAGAGGAGTGGAGACTTACCTCAGGTCACACAGCATCCAGGGCATAGTCAGGACTGAAAGTTTGGTGTCGTGACTCTTCATTAAGGGCTCTCATGTTGTCCCTCTGACTAAAAATCATGTCTAATGAAATGGCTAGGGGAATAAAAAAATCCATCAGCAAATATTTATAAAATAGTGTATTCTGGAAGAGGTGGAAGAGAGGTAATGTTCTTCCCTGATCTTTGAAAGCCCATAGTCCAATTAAGGAAGCACACATGTGCCCTGATATCTCTAACACTGAGTAGACTATGTGCTGTGATAAGGACACCAGGTTCCAGAGAGGGAGAGAGAAGAATCCAGGAGGACTCCCTGAGGAGGGAAGCATTATTCCAAGTCTTGAAGGACTAGGAGGTGGAGCTGTTAGGTCTAAAATAGGATGCTCAGTTGGATTTGAATTTCAGATAAACAACAAATAAATTTTAATCTAAGTAGATCTCAAATACTGAATGGGACATACTTATACTAAAACATTATTCATTGCTTATCTGAAATTCCATATTAACTGGATGTCCTGTACTTTTATTTCCTAAATCTAGCAACCCTACAGGAGGGATTTCAGCAGTGCAAATGGAGAGAGAGACTCACCAGAAGAGACAGGATTGGCAGGAGCAGGAGAATGCACTGTGCTGTGACTGTCAGTGTCACTGGAGCAGAAAGGGTGTGGGCGAGGGACAAGGCTGTGCAAGCAGGGCCAGCCCAGGAAGGGCTGGTGGGTCACAAGCCGCCATCCTCCCACAAGAACAGTGGCAACAGCATTCCCATCCCCCACGTCCTTCCCTCCCATCTGTCATCAGTTTTCCACACACAGCCAGGGCAACAGTCACAGAACTTGAGTTAGACCATCTCACTCCCTGCTAAGGCCTTCAGTGGCTACCCAGGCCACACCTAGAAAAGGACATCCCAACACTTTACCTCAACCTAGAGGACCTCAACCTAGCAGAACCCAGCCAATCATGTCTGTTTGAATAAAATCTACTCCAAAGGCTTGTTGTGAGGATTCAGGGGGATAGTGTCAGGCAGAGTTCTCAACCTGCACTGCCCCCTGAACTCAACTAGGGAACTTTAAAAAAAAGCAGGTGCCTGGGTCCCACCCCCAGAGATTGTTGAATTGGTCTGGGATAGGCCTGGGCATCTGGAGTTTCAAAAGATTCCGCAGTGATTCCAAAGTGCAGGCAGGCTGTGACTCAGGTACCCTGTATTCTCTGGAGCAAGCGCCCAGTGAGAGAGGCTGTCATTGCCTCTACCAACTTCATTTCTGTCCCTCTTCCATTTCCCCCTCCCTCCATGGCCTTCCACTCTCTGAGTCTCAGGGCTTTCCCACCTGCCATCCCCTCTGCCCAGAATGTTCTACCTCCCTTCCCTAACTTGGCCAACACTTACTTGTCCCTCCCATCCCAAGATCCTCCCTTCTATTCTCCTGGAGCACACTGAACGTTTTCCTTCACAACACTTACATACTCTGTGCTCATGTTTCTAATTGTGTGGGTACCTGCTTAGTGTCTGTCTCTCCCCAGCAAACTGCAGGCTACATGGGCAGGGACCCTGTCTTTCTTGTTCCCTGCTGTCCTGAGCCCCGTACATCACGTTGGCACTCAGAAAATGTTGAACATATGAATGGATGAAAGAATGACTGAGCACGGGAGTCATGTGGTGAGATTTGCATTTCCAGAAACACCTTTCTGGCTGCTCTGCACTGAATGCTGGTCAGAGTAGAGTAGGAAGATACTGAGACCAGAGATTACACAGCTATGGTAATATAGCCAGGAAATGATAGGGCTTCAGTCAGGACAGAGGTGAAGGAGTTGGGGGTGGGAAGGACAGACACGGTGTGAGGAGGGTGGGGACTTTTGGGGGGTGTGGCCACGTGATTGAGGTTCTACCCTGAGGGCACAGGCAGGCCGACAAGATGGAAGGTGCCCCAAAGTAAGAGGCTGTTGCCAGGAAAGATGAGTTCTGTTTCTGCCAAGTTGGGTTGGTCATGTCAGTGGGCCATCAGGGAGACACAGGGAATCTGAGGCCAGGAACCAAAGAAGCCTAGGTTGGGTATACAGATTTGAGAGTCATGTAAATAGAGGCAAAAGTAAAAATCAAAAAAAAAAATTTTAATTTCATGCAAGTGTTTCTTGCCATTTCTGTGAGCAAAAATTCCTGGGGTGTGGCATGTCCATGCTCAGGAAGCTCTTCTGTCAGAGAGGCAAGTCATGGCCCTTCCCCTGTCCCCGCAGCTATCCTGGGCATGCACACGCTCATGAGCAACCAGCAGTACTACCAGGCCTTGGGCAGCAGCTCCATCGTGAACAAGGAGGGACTCAACAGTGAGTACTCAGCCCTGGCTGCCAGGCTTCACCACCCGCCCCTGCCCCAAGTGAGGGCGGCTTGGAAGTGAAGGCATTCTCCCGTTCTTGCTTCCTCCACCTGCTCATACTCTCTGGCTCACGGCAGAAGTGTTAGAATTTTATGCAGCCAAATCTATCCACCTTTTCCTTTTCTATCCTGGGATCTGTGTCTTGTTTATACCAACATCCTAAAATATTCTTCTATATTTACTTCTAAAGGTTTTAAAGGTTTACTTCTTATATTCAACTTCTTAATCCACCTGGGGTTCATGTTTGTGTGTGACATGAGAGGAGATCAAACTTTCATTTTTAAGTAGATATCCCGTTGTTCCAACACCATTCTTAGCAGAATTCATCCTTTCCCCACTGGTTTGGGACTCCATCTTGATCATAAATTTCCACATGTCCCCATGGGTCTGTCTCTGGGTGCGTCTTCTGTTTCATGAGTCCCCTGTCCTTCCTGTGCCAATATTGCAATTGCCCCAAGCTGGCATTTTGGCCCCAAAGAGAAATGAGGGTACCAAAAGAAAAGTGATCCCTCCTTTCGCAAGGCTTACACATTTCTTTACCATCCAGGCTTCATGTTATCCTCACAAAAGCTCACAGAGGTATAATGACTGTTCATGCTCTACAAACGAGGACAAAGTTGGAGAGATCAAATAATTTACCCTGTTCTTTCAGAACGTCAAAAGCAGAGCCCAAACCTCAGGGCTTCTCCCAATGCGCCATCCCTCCTGGCAGACCCCCGCAGGCGTGGCCTCAGGCCCTGAATCCTGCCACTGCTTCCTTCCACAGTGTCCTTGTGTCGAGGCGGAGTGATCCCCCCATTTCTGTGAGCCACTTCTCTTTTGTCCATCGCTATAGGTGTCATCAAACCTACACAATACAAGCCTGTGCCTGATGAAGAACCGAATTCAACAGATGTAGAGGAAACACTGGAGCGGATAAAGAACAATGACCCGAAACTTGAAGAGGTCAACCTCAACAACATCAGGGTGAAGCCCCTTTACTTCCCTTCTCCTGTGGGTGTGGGAGAGCCACGCCCCCTGGCACCCTGCTGCCAGCAGTCTGGGCTTGGCTGTGCAGAGAGAACAGGGTCCAGTTTGGGCTCTGGGTGCTTCTAGATCGGGAATAGGGGCAAAACTTTGCAGAGGAGTGGACAGTGTAAATAAGAACATCCCTTAGTCCTGGTTGCTTTCAGAAAACTGACATCAGGCCCAGATGGTCACCACTGGCCAACCTGGCTGTGACTCTGGAAACCTGCCACGTTATTTTCCAAGATAAAAGACAGACAGGCTCTCAAGGGTGGAAAAGCCCAGTGCCTGCCAGGCTCCTGGGGCAACCCAAGCCCTGGGAGGGGCCTACTCCTGAACTACCCCTGCTTCTGAGTCATGGACATAGTCAGGCGATGCTACAGCCCTGAAAGGGAGCTGTCAGCCCAGATGTCCAAACACATGTCGCCAGCTATGGCCCATGTCTCTCCAGATGTTTCCCACATGAGCCCCAAGGGCAGAGGAGGGACAGATGGACAGGCAGTCCCACCCTGGACAGGCTGTAGGAGGAATTCAGAGGAGGCCAGCTGCCTGCCCACCTGCTCAGCCAGGAGGCCAGTGGGATTAGTTCAGGGAGGGGTGGGGGTAAGACAAGAAGTGGGCCCCTCACTCCCCGGCTCCTCTTTCCTTTCTTCTCCACTTTCTTTTAAGTGGCTGCCAACCCCATGGCACAATCAGATTGGAAACCTGCTCTCTCAGTGTTCTACTCCACCTGGCCTCCCCCCTGCTCTGCTCCCACGAGGAGCTAAAGTGACACTCTGAAATGAGAGACCAGTAGAAACACAGCCAGGTTCTCACTCAGGTGCCTCCCTTATCTGCTCTGTGCCTAGTGCCCTGTGCCAGTGTACCCCTGGGCAGTGAAGCAGCTTGGAGTGGCATGGGTGTGGAACTGGCTGGGGGTCTGCTCTTCATCATGGGACCTCAGGCAAGGGCTGGGCCCTCCCCAGGTCTTAGTTTCCCCTCTGCATGGGAGACAGTTGGACTAGATCAGTGGTTTTCACCTGTAAAGATGAAAAAGTGTATGCCAATGCCCACCCCCAACCCCTTCCCACTCCTTTCCCCTACTGCCCCCACCCCCACTACCAAGATTCTGATTTTATTGGTCTGGGGCAGGCCCAGGCATCAGCAATTTGTAAAAGTTCCCCAGGAGCTTCTGATCTGCAGTGGGGCTGAGGCAGATACCTCTTAGAGATCATCTAGTGCAAACCCACCCCTTCCACAGACCTTGGTTTTCTAGAGAAGCCCAGAGAGGGAAAGATACTTCCCCAGAGTTACAGAGCAAGTCAGAAACATTTCCAATTGCTGGGGTGGAAGCCAAGCCCCTGCCTCTTCCTCCAACCCGAGTCCTAAGCTATTGGCACAACACCTCTGCATCCTCTGCCGTGATTTTTCCTTCCCCTTTGTTTTCTGCAAACACAAAGAGAATTGTGGTTTCTTTCTGAAATTTTCAGGGAGGATTTTCTCAGTCTACATACTAGAAAATTCTCCCCAAATCTCAGCCATTGGAGCAAAGCCAGGACCCTTTGCCCACTCAGCTTTTTGGTCAGACTCGCTAGGCATCTGGCTGCATGTGTGAGAGGGTTACTGCCCATCTGGCTGTCCCGCCCTGCCCCCACCCCCACCCTTCGTGGGGCTGCTGCTCACCACCTGCCTCTTTCCCTGCAGAATATCCCCATACCTACCCTCAAGGCATATGCAGAAGCCCTGAAGAACAACCCGTATGTGAAGAAGTTCAGCATTGTGGGGACACGGAGCAATGACCCTGTGGCGTATGTATGTACCTTTCTGTTCTTGAATATCCCCATACCTACCCTCAAGGCATATGCAGAAGCCCTGAAGAACAACCCGTATGTGAAGAAGTTCAGCATTGTGGGGACACGGAGCAATGACCCTGTGGCGTATGTATGTACCTTTCTGTTCTGCTACATTGAGAGTGCGGGCCATAGAAACAGAGTGCTTGTGGCCTCAGGACTGGCTGTATCCACTGAGGAGCCCCATGTGGTCTGGTAAAAGGAACTGGGCTAGGAGCTAGGAGAAGACATGGACAGAACAGCTATTACCTGGCCACATCTATACATTATCCTACTTAATCTCCACAACCGCCCCTGATTTTCTCTTTGCAGATGAAGAACCTGGGGTGCAGGGAGTTTAGGCAACTTGCTATGTCCAAAGTTGCACAGCAAGAAATTGGTGGAGCTGAGATTTAAATGCAAGTCATATTGATCCTAAGGCCAATCTCTCTTCACTCAGCATGTCACCTTTGGACAAGTCCTGCTCTTCCCTAGGCTTCAGTTTCTCTATATCTAAAATCATTGTCTTTATCAGTGGATCTTGATGATCAACTTCCTCTTTTTGTTTTTACCCAAAGCTTAAAAATATTGCTGACCAAATTAAATTATACTTATTATGAAGTAGCCATCAGCCATCAATTTTTTTTTTAAACATTCAAAACGTATTTATTGAGAGTCTCTCTGTATCCAGCACTGGATTAGACTCTGGGAATAAAACTGTGACCGGGTTGGTCACAGCTCCCACTTTCATGAATATAATAATGGTCCATTTGGCCAGGTAGGCAACCAAAGGATAATAGTACAGCGTGATTACTCCAATACTAACGGCAGGTAAAAAGTGTAAGAATTAGCTTACTCGGGATGGTAATTAACCATTTGGTAGCAATTTGTTGATATCTGCAAAATAACTCAATGGGATTTTAACTGGGACTGCATGAATGTATAGATCAAGTTGGGAAGAACTGACATCTTGACAATTTGAATCTTATCCATGAATGCAGACTATCTCTCTATTTGTTCTTTGATTTCACACATCAGAGTTTTATAGTTTTCCTCATGCAAATCTACATATTTTGTTAGTTTTATACATAAGTATTTCACCTTTAGGGGTACTAATATAAAGAGTATTGTGTTTTTAATTTCATATTCCACTTGTTCATTGTTGATCTATAGGAAAGTGATCGACTTTTGTATATTAACCTTGTATTCTGCAACCATGCTATAATCATTTATTAATTCTAGGAGGTTTTTGGTCAATTCTTTCAGGTTTTCTACATAGACCATCATGTCATCTGTGGACAAAGACAGTTTTATTTCTTCCTTCCCAATGTGTATGCCTTTTATTTCCTTTTCTTGCTTTATTGCCTTAGTTAGAATTTGTAATCTGATATTGAAAAAGAATAGTGAGAAGGGACATCCTTACCTTGGACCTAATCTGAGTAGTAAAGGTTAAGTATGATGTTAACTATAGGTTTTGTATGAATATTTTCTGCCAAGTTGAGGAAGTTCCCCTCTTTTTCTAGTTTACTGATAGTTATTATTATGAATGGGTGCTGATTTTTGTCAGTTGCTTTTTATGCATCTCCCTGAAATGATCATGTGGGTTTTTTTTAAATCTGTTGATGTGATGGATTACATTATTTTATTTTTCAAGTACTGAACCAGCCTTGCATATCTGGTATAAATCCTATTGGGTCATGGTATATAATTATTTTTATACATTGTTGGATTAAACCTGCTATTTCTTTGAGGATTTTCGCATCTGTGTCATGAAAGATATTGATCTATAGTTTTCTTGAAATCTCTTTGTCTGGTTTGGTATTAGGATTAGGTATTACCATTATTTGTTCATGCCTCATAGAAAGAGTTAGGAAATATTCCCTCTGCTTGTGTTCTCTGAAAGAGGTTGTAGAGAACTTGTATAATTTCTCCCTTAAATATTTGGTAGAATTCACCAGTGAACCCATCTGTGGCTGGTGCTTTCTGTTTTGGAAGATTAGTTAATTATTGATTCAATTTCTTTAAGAGATAAAGACCTGTTAAATTGTCTATTTCTTCTTATGTGAATGAGCTATGTCAAATCGCATCTTTCAAGAAACTGGTCCATTTCATCTAGGTTACCAAATTTGTGGTCTTAGAGTTGTTCATAGTATTCCTTTATTATCCTTTTAATTGTCATGGGATCTGTAGTGATGTCCCCTCTTTCATTTCTGATATTAGTAATTTGTGTTCTCTCTTTTTTCTTTGTTAGCCTGGCTAGAGGCAGATTTACTTTATCTTTTCAAAGAACCAGCTTTTGACTTTATTGATTTTGTTTTCAATTTCATTGACTTCTGCTCTAATTCTTATTATTTACTTTCTTCTGCTTACTTTGGATTTAACTTGCTCTTTTTTTTTTCTAGTTTCCTAAGATAGAAACTTAGATTATTAATTTTAGATCTTTTTTAAACTATAGGCATTGAGTGCTATGAATTTCCTTCTAAGCACTGCTTTCATTGTATCCCACAAATTTTGATAAGTTGTGTTCTCATTTTCAGTTAGTTTAAAACACTTTTTAATTCCTCTCAAGATTTCTTCTTTGGCCCATGTGTTATTTAGAAATGTGTTGTCCAGTCTCCACATATTTGGGGATTTTCCAGTTATCTTTATTCTACTGATTTCTAGTTTAATTCCACTGTGCTCTGAGAGCAGAAATTATAGTTCTATTTTTTAAAACTTCTTTTGTTCATGTGGTTCCCTACACCTAAAGATGCCTGCGCTTTACCCTCTGAGGTACTCTCCACCCTATGGGATTATCTCAAATCCCACCTTCTCCAAGAAGCCCTCCCTGCTGCTTGCTGCTGAGATTGCTCCCCTGCAATGGCCCACACTCTGTGGCTTGCTGGAGCACCTGGTTTGATGGTCATTTTCGTACTTGTCTGGCTTCCTATGTTTCATGGCTCAGAATGTGGTCTAAAGTGTTTGTTAAAGTGTGTTTCATGACTCAGAATATGTTCTATCTTGATGAATTTTCCATGTGAACTTGAGAAGAATATATATTCTGCTATTGTTGGGTGAAGTAGTCTATGGATGTCACTTATATCCAGTTGATTGATGGTGTTGTTGAATTCAGTTATGTCCTTACTGATTTTCGACCTCCTGGATCTGGCCATTTTGGAGAGAAAACTGTTAAAGTCTTCAACTCTAGCAGTGGATTAATCTGTTTCTCCTGGCAATTCTGTCAGTTTTTGCCTCATATAATTTAGCACTCTGTTGTTAGGTGCATATACATTAGGGATTGTTATGTCTTTTTGTTGAAGACATAAATAAAGAATTGACCCCTTTATCATTATGTAATACCCTTCTTTATCCTAGATAATTTTCCTTGCTTTGAAGTCTACTTAGTAGCAATCAAGTCTTTCTGACTTTTAAAATAGATAGGACAATGTCCTTCAGTATTTTTGAAATGACAGAACTAGATCACAGTCTCTCATTGCTACTAGTGGAGAACCTCTGGATAGATGACTTCTGATCTCAGGAGATCTCCAGGGGATCCTGGGTTTGCCCATGGAGACATGGATCAGAACCCAGCACATCCGTACTGGCACTCAGCTCAGCTCCATGAATGTTATGGGAACTTGACTCTGTCAGGCCAACAGCTGATATCACCCATTCACGCCAGTAACCCGTTGTGGGATACTGAAATGCTTCTGGGCTAGTTGGTAAATAGGCTGCCAGGGCTCTGTATGTGCCCCCACTGCCTGCCCCAGATCCTCTCCTGACATCCCATTCTCCCAGCATGAAAGAACCTCCAAGACCTGCTCAGACAGCAGCATGTCCACTTGGATCAGCCTGGTGCACTTGCCGACTGGTAGTTAAATATTTTGATTTTAAGGCCTAGGCAGGCCTTTCCTGGGGAGCAAGAGAGATGTTGTGGAGAGAACATGGTCCCTCCCCTCAGCCTACACAGATCACAGAGAAAGCTGACGTGCCATCCTAGGGGTGCACAGAAGTGGAGGGAAACTAAGGGAGTGCTGGTCCCAACAGGGAAGGGTCTTGGGGGTTAAGCCTCATGTAGGCTTTCAGCAAACAGGGGCAGTGAGAAGGGCCTTCCTGGCTCTGCGCATCATTTCAGACAACCAGGGCCCACCAGTCATACATCTCGGGCTCTCAGCTGCTGGTGTCTGCTTTCCTCCCTGACATATCATTTCCACCAAGTGCTAATTACCTCATTTCCTTCAGAGGCTCTGATTGTCATCTGCACCCCCTGGCTGGATTCCTCTGAAACGTGCTGGAGCCTCCTGATCTCGTCTCCTCCCATTTGCCCCAGTCACTTGCCCTATGCGGTGGCTTCCCAGGCTTCCCTCTCTGCTCTCTGCTGTTCAGTCAGAGAACAATGACTCCACGGAATTCCAACAGGGAAATAGAAGCAGCAAGTGGAGAGTATATAAAGAGGTTGGGACTCCACTAGTCACTCAGTGGACAGTGATCAAGGACATACAATGTGCTGTGCACTGTGGATACCATGGAATGAATAGGTGCATTTTCATCCCACTGAGAGTATGCAATCCACTGGCAGAGAACACACCAATACAAAAACACGTCTGAGCAGAGGAACACAAGTTCCATGACAGAGGTTATGGATAAATTCTGTGATGTGTAGGAGGGCAGGGCACAGCTAGCTGGGGGTATCAGTAAAGGCTCTTAGAGAAAGAAGCATCAGGAGTGGCCTTGAAAGACAGGCAGGGTTTGGACAAGTGAAGCAGAAAGGAGGGGGCATCTGGGTGGCGGGACAGGTGAGCACCAAGCAGCAGGAGTGCACCAGGCCTGTACAGTGAGCCCCGCTGCAGGGGAGCTGAGCACTGAGGTCCCCAGGGGGGCAGGGCCAGGAAGCAGAGGCTGGATGCAGGCTACAGAGCATGGAAGCCCCGGTGTGGGTTTGAGAGCCAGGGCAATTGAGGGCGAGGAGAGACAGAGCTGTGCTTGGTACCATTATGGAAATTGTCTTGCCTGGTCCCTGGCTCAGACAGCATAAATGTGCACTGGACTCTTGCTCCCTGCAAGGCTCCCCCAGTATTTTAGGTGCTAGCCTAGAGGGCCTCCAGCCTTGCCCAGGGTGACTCATTGGTACCCTTTCTTTACTCTGGTGGTTCAAGGCCCTTGCTGAGATGCTCAAGGAGAACAAGGCATTGAAGACGCTGAATGTGGAGTCCAACTTCATTTCTGGAGCTGGGATCCTGCGCCTGGTGGAAGCTCTTCCACACAACACTTCTCTAGTGGAACTGAAAATTGACAACCAGGTAAAGTGGTCGAGGGTCTCCTCATGTCCTTCACCACGTGACACTCACCATTCTGCACTTTGCCACATGTTGCTGGATAGAGTAGATGCTGCTGGGGGTAAAAGCCCCAGAGCCCAGCTTTAAGGCATCTCAGAGGTCTCCACACCCTCCACCATGCTCACAGTCCTTCTTCATCATTCCTGTCAAGTGCTCTTCCAGCTTCTGCTTTTACACCCCTGGTGATGGGGTGCTTACTCCTTACCAAGATCACCCCTTCCATTCATAGTGAGAATATCCTCCCATATAGCCAGTAGAAATCTGCTTTCTGTAAGTTTTGTTGGTTGGGCTTATTCGGTTCTCTGCTGCACATGGGACCCAACTGGTGCACAGATCTCATAAACCACTGGAGTCTTCCTCAGCAGGCTAAATATCTCTGTTTTCTTCAATCGCACCCACTCAATGCACTTTTTTTTTTTTTTTTAGTATCATTAATCTACAATTACATGGCACTCAATGGACTTTTGAGTCTCCTTACCATTGAGGTTACTCTCTGGGCATATTCTAGTTTGTCTTTATCCTTATGAGGTTATCATTTCTCTATAACTTCTGTAATTCAGTCATTTATTTTCAGGGCAACTCTTCCAGTTCTGACTCTTTAAGATGATGCTAATAACAATATCTCACATGTAAAATATATTGTACATTGCATGTGTTGAGGGTCTACTGTGGGCCAGGCTCTGTGCTTTGGACCTTAGATCTTCCCAACAGGATGTGTGTATTCTCTGTCTCAGTTTGCAGAAGGGAAAACAACTCAAAGTGGCTAAAATAAGCAACTTAATAAGGAAATATAATGAAATTGTCAACAGTGGTTCTCCCCAAATGAGATTATCTATACTTTTTACCCTTATTGTAAAATATTATAAATATCGAGAGAAGTGCATAAAACTTAAATGTATAGCTTAATGAATCGTAATAGGCAAGTAACCCCTGTCTAGGTCAATAGCTGAAACATTACCAGCCTCCAGGAGACTTTGACGGTCCTTTACAATCATAAGCCCTTCAAAATCTTCACAATTAGCCCCCTACTTACTTTCATGCCTCCATGTCTTTGCTGTCACTTTCCTCTCCACCTGGAATGTCCTCCCCTGCTCCTACTTCTTCTCTGCCTGGAAAAATCTTTCTCTTTCTTCTGGATGTAGTTGAAGCCTCTTCTTTCTCCCAGTGGTGTTCTAGTCAGCCTGAACCAGCTTGCCAGAGCCGACTGTGTTCATTTCTACGCAACTCCACGTCAGTGGTGGCACAGTGGTACCTTGAAGTCACTCCCGATGGGAGTATTTACATTATGGAAATGGGCAAACACTATAAATCCAACCTTAATTTTTTTTTCTGAAAGTCAGCAGCCAGCATATCACTAACTTCTCCCGTCAGTCTGCCATCAGACCTCTAAGCCTCCCCCGAGAGTTAGGTTCTCCCTCCCAGTGTTCTCCTGGCAATTGGGTTGCCCTGTGAGCTTCTCAGAAATCGGTGCTATCCCCGAGTTATATCCCAGTGCCCAGCTCAGAACTTGGCCTCACAGTGATACTTGGGAAGCTGGGCTGCCTGGCTGGCTGTGTATGTTGTTCACTGCACAATGAGGTGGCAAGGCACGAAATCCAGCGCACACTCTACTCTCCAAGTTTTGGTATGGGGCTTTGTTCACCCAGATAAGGCATTTTTTCTAATTCATACAAAGAAAGCACAGGAGCAGCCTGTCATGTGAACTTGCTGCACTGGAAGCCTCGCCTCTCTCGCATGCCAGGGGGCTGCTACTGTACCACCCGCCCCCAGCCCCTCCCCACCCCACCCTTTCTGACATCGCTGACCCTGCTCTGCTGCAGGCAGGAGGGATGGAGCAGATAGAAGAAAAACATGCATCAAGCTTGACAGCAGCTCTGGGCCAAGCCCTGGGATTGGCTACTCATGTGACTCCAAGCCTAGCCAGGCAGCCTCAGAGTCTGCCCAGCGTCACCTGAAACCTGACTCCTGGGGCAGAGTGTGGATCAAAGATGACCCAGAGCACTGGCTTCAGGTCATTGGGTGGCAGCTGACAGGGAGTGAGCTGCCCCCTTCCCTCTCACTGCTATTCCCCCAAAGCCCAGAGCCAGAGCCAGTGCTGACCACCCCCCCACCCTTGCTGAACACCCTGGTGTGAGAAAGTTCAGTTTCCTCACTTGTAAAATAGGGATAACAAGAATCTCTGCTTCTAAGGTAATAACAGATATTAACTATGGAGTTGTTAACTTTTAAATGTACTTCTATAATTTGTATAAATATTTGTAAATATACTAAATTTAAACCATATACATAGTTATAAATACTTTGTATTTATAAGTACTTTATAAATAAATAATTAGAAAAATAAAAACTTTTATAATTTTTCCAAAAGTGACCTGGGGAGTTCACACATTATCCGAAGAGTTAACTTACTGAGCAGGTGCCACTACCCCAGTTAATGCTCACAAAGACTCATGGGAGTCTCACAGCCCACCCCTATATTGTGGATGAGGAAACTAAGGCCCAGGCAGGTCATCTAACCTGCCTTAGGTCACACAGTAAGTAAGTGACAGAGGCAAGATTCAAACCTAGGTCTGTATGACCCCGGAGTCCATGAGCCATGCAGGCCTGGCCTCTTGAGCCCTGGTTTCGTGTGGGCCTGCTCACCTTTCTCCGCAGTCACTTTCCCTCCACGCTAGAGCAGAGGGCTGGTCACTGCCTGGCCTTCCCATCCCAAGAGCCTCTTTTTTGATTCATCTCCGTGTTTGGTGAATGCTAGCTGCACCCCATGGCTGTGCTGGACTCTGTAATTTGGAGGCTCCAACTCTGCTCTCCAGGGAGTTCACGCTGGCTGGGAAGACAGACAAGTACAGAAATGACCATCAAACCAGGCTCTCCAGCCACAGACGGTGGGCCATTGCAAGGCAGCAATTTCCTGTCAGCAGCAAGCAGCAGGGAGGGCTTCTTGGAGGAGATGGGGTTTGAGATAATCCCATAGGGTGGAGAGTCAGAGGGTAAAGAGGAGGCATCTTTGGCGTAGGGAACCACATGAACAGAGAGGAGAGGAAAGCTGTGGAGGCCATCCAGACCAGCTTAATGGTGCCACAGAGGAAAACCCGAAAGGGAGCTGGAGTCCAGAGGACCCTGAGCGGGTGGGTCGGGTGAAAGTGAGCAGTGGACTGCCGTCTGCACCAGTCAGAGCTGCTTTCTGGGAAGATGGTTTCTGGCTGGATGGGAAAGGATCAGAAGCTGGGAGGACATCAGGGCCTGGGAGACTGGTGGGGGGCTGTGACTACCCTTGGGGGTGCTCCTGTGAGCTCGGAGTCCAGGGTTGGCTGGGGAGGGAGGGTGGGATGAGCCGGTCTCGGGGAGGGACTGTGCTGGCCCAGGCCAGCGGGTAAGTCCGAGGAGGCCTGGGCTCAGCCAGCTGCCTTTCCCCAGGCGCCCCAGCCCCGGGCTCTGAGGATTGTGACAAAGAGAAGGTGGTGAGTGGCATTTGATTTATTCCTCACTCTTGGCTAGTCACTGAAGTCTTCAGAGGCCTCAGCCCCTGCGCGGGTAACCTATGTCCATGAGTCTCCATCCTCCGTTTCCCTTAAAAGGCCAAAGAAAGGGACTTGGGGAGTTCTACCCAGGGTGACATGGAGCCTTGCAGTCTGGCTTGGGGCACAATTTGGGAACTAGGATCCTGGGGCTGTTTGTTTACTCAACCAGTCTCCCTTTATCTCCAAGCAATGCTCTGTTGCCGCCTGCAGTTGCCTTGACACACAGCGGAGGGTGGGAGGGGAGGGGGCCCTGACTGGAGCTGGCGGTACTGAGAATACACCTAGTCCAGCCTCCTTTTACAGGTGGGGTAGCTGAGGATGGGAGAAGGGCTGGGATGTGGCTGAGGTCATGGATCAAGTTAATGTCAGAGCTGGGTTGGAACTGAGGTGTCCTGCCTTTCAGACAGGCTGTGTTTACGGATGGACAGGAGAGACCCTCTCGGCCCCCAGACAGCAGGCTCCACACGTGGATGCCTGCCAGCCCCATCCATCCCCATGCTGATTCTCTGTCCCTCTTGCTCCACCTCCTCGGTCCCACAGAACTCCTTCCCCAGGAGCCTCAGGGCACAGACAAGGCCTGCAGGCTGATGAGGAGATGTGCAGTGTCTGGGCCAGTACCTGCCAGATTCCTCACTCCAATATTTGATAGTGTGGATATGCTTAATATTTTGTAAAGAAGCTAAAGGAAGTGGATTGTGTTTTCTTGTTTTTCCAGATCAGATTATTTTCCTAGTGGAAATAAGTTCAGGAAGAAAACAGAAGATAGATGGAAATAGGATCCTGAAGGTTGTTACACAGGGTGACATCCCTTTAATTTGAGATTACACGCTCATGGCAGCCAGCTAACTTTTTAAAAATGAGGCTGACTATGACTTTTGGTTTTGCAAGTTAAGGAAAACACATTCTTCAAAACAAAGAGAGCATATGTTTTGACCAATCATGCTCCCTCTTCTGTTCCTTATATGTTTAGCTTCTAAGCAACAGCTCTTGGTGTGGGCATGATTTTTGTGTTTGCTGTCTCATTGTGTATTATAGTAATTCAGCCTGGGAATATTCAGTCTCCAGGAGAGGACAGGCATGTGTCACCATCTCTTCCTCCAAATGCCAATTATGTTCTTTTATTCACCTCACTTCCCAGTGGAAAATGAAATAAAGGCAGTGGAAAATGAGGGGGAGTGGAAATGACACAGTTAAAACCCTTTTCCTACAGAGATTAGATTGAATCAGAATAAAGATTTGTTACAACGACCATCTCACACCATGTCAGGCCCTCACTGGAGGCAGCACTCTGATCTGAAAAGCCTGGAGCTTTCCAGACAGGAGACCAACTGACCCAGGGACTGTCTTCAAATTTCTTACACTTGCAGCCAAACAAGGAATTAATCCCCCGTAAGCCTCAACTCTGTCCTGTCCTTGCTGTGTAATGAGGGGAAGTCACTTGAT